CGAAGTACAGGACTTGGTGCAATTACAGAAACGCTTTATTGTAACGTCATCTCTAAATAGGTTTACGAAATGCGCACCTTTTTCAGTTGAATCTCACTGTTGTTGGTTTTATGTTGCTGACAGAGCTCACTCCACGAATGACGCTGTTATAATTTTTTTTGCTTGCAGGTGCAATGGTGACAGTATTGAAGGAGATTCCAACTCTTTTTGAAAAATGTAGGTCTGTAGATCCGGCCTTCTAAATTAGTTTGGTTACACAAGTGGTTATAGTTGGTGTGGCTCGTGGCATTCTGGATAAAATCTCGCTATGGCGTGGAGACATAACGAAACTTGAAGTTGACGCAATCGTCAACGCTGCTAACTCTGGACTAGCTGGAGGTGATTTTTATGATGCCCATAGCCGTTTGAAGGCTATCTATATATCACGTGTTGACTCTGTTTCGTCTTTGGAATTTATCACAATGTTCCAGACTTTCTCGACCTGTAGTCTCAGATGTAACTTAGAATGTCGCCTTCTGCAAATCACGTTTACGCTGCAGGTGGTGGTGTAGACGGGGCCATACATAGAGCCGCTGGGACGAAGGATTTACAGAAGGAATGCCGAGCTATTGGTCACTGCGACACAGGCGCCGCTGTCATCACGAGCGCTTGTAATATAAAGCACGTCAAAAGTATGTATCATTTCTAAGGTTTTCTGCTTCTCTCTTTGTAATGTTTAATTAAGACATCATTCACACCGTTGGTCCAATTTGCCATGGTGCTCTTGCGAGTGAAGGTGAACGGGAGAAACTTAAGTCATGCTATCACTCTTGTCTCGACCTAGCCGTCAAGAACAACCTCAAGACAGTTGTACGTTTTCTTTTTTATCTATTTTCACTTTCTGCCACAAAAGATACAATTACACATTTTTGAACTATGTTTAGCGGCTTTCAATTTATTTTCTCGACAGTATCCACACAATTAAAAAAGGCTCATCATTTAAGTTTTTCTCGAAGCACTCATCTTCCTATATAATCTGTTAAGGCATTTTGTTGCATTTCAACCGGGGTTTATGGCTATCCGCAAGACGATGCTGCGAAGACGGTGGTTGGGCTGCTAACTGATTGGCTAGCAAAGCCAGAGAACGCAGCTAAGGTAAGCTTTTTCTCTATCTTTTAAATCTACGTCATCACGCCAAGTGTTTTGTTAGCTGTAAAATTCCAGATTGCTCGTATCGTCCTGGTGCTCTTCAATCCTGCCGATGTCAGTTTCTACGAAAAATTCTTCGAAGATTATGCGAAAACTCAGAAATGAAAGAGTTTATACTTGCTAACATGGGTTACAGTCTCGCTTTCTGTCTATATTTTGTCATTATAGCCAGTAGATTTTTGTGATATGTTTTGAAAGTGATAACAATCTGGAATAGAATAAATTTACAAACTATGCGAATATTTCTTCCATCGCAGAGTTCTATAAAGTCAAATACTTTTCAATTTTTAGGGACTTTTTTTTT